AATAAATGAACATCCCACCTCTGGAATGTAGTAAAGTGATAAAGATAGTGTGCATACAATGGCAGGCTGCTGTTGCATGCAGATGAACATCAATGGCAAGGAAATACTATCTACAAAAATGAGATGCTGCAACCTTTAGTAGGAAATGTGATTATAGTCATTGATATTCATAACATTTTGTGTGTCTCTGAACAATATTAAGAAAGTGGCTATGGTTAAAATTAGCTTTCACGTATGGCCATATCACATTGAAACATCATTTCCCATGCGATTATCACAGTGCAGTAGTGTTGAGCCTAATCAGTACCCTCTATTGGTGTCCGCTTTAGAATATTAGATGTAAGTTTGGATATGCAGGTGGTGTAGTAGATAATGGCTCTGAATTTTTTAATTGGAAAGCTGGATTCCAATTCCTGTTGGGTTTGTTACATTCACTTACACATAAATACTCTTGGAAATGGTATTAATCCACCTCTTCTCTCCTCAGCTATGAGTTATTTAATAAGACTTGTATCACTAAAACCATTATTATCTTTAAAAAAAAAAAAAAAATTTTTACCATCTAAAAATATTTTCTGGCTTTGAATAACCTACAAGTGGCCATAGAAAACAAGCATTTTTTTTTTTTTTTTCTTTAAACATAGCTTAATAAGCAACTATGCTTCAATTATGTTAAACCTCACCCCCATCCATCAAGAGGCCACATTTAACATTGCTTAACATTTCAAAAGTTTCTTTCACATAAGAAGGTCAAACGAAAATATTAGTGTTGTGTCCTGTAGATTTTCTTTAAAAAAAATAGGAACAACATAAAGAAGCATTCATTTTATTTACACTTAAGTTTCAGGTGTAAGAGGTGATTAGAAATTTTTTTTTTTTTTTCACTCTCTGTTTGAAAAGATTTTCTGAATATTTGATAGAGGGGGTGATGTTTTGTTTTTTTATTCATTTATTTAATACCAAAAAATGAATAATCCTCGCATATCTGTTTGAAATTCAGATATAGCTATAAAAAAAACACAATGACTGCTAAATATAGATATGATGAAAAGTTCTTGTAATCTTTCTCTCTTTACAGGTGCCTACCAACATAACTCCATTTTCTATATTTGTCTTAGGTTTATCCATCTATCCTCTCTACAAAATTCAGTATAAATCAACTTGGCATTTATTGGACAAAACCAACATCAGCACATGATCACATTTATGTCACACAGTAGTTAACTCTCATATACTCAACACTGAATTATTAAATATTTTACAAAATCAATAAGTCTGTCAATAACTGTGACCTTTTAAATAGTACTAAAATGAAATAATAAAATAAATACTGACTGAAGTTGATTCTTACTCAGTGAAATTGGTTCCCAATGTTTTCCTAGGAACAAAACTTTTATTGATGGAATTCTTGATAACAATCAACAGTTCTGCATAGATTTCAAACATTATGCTTCTTAAAAAAAAAAAAAAAGGTTCAGCTTCATTTTAGATGAGAAAGCCTGCTCATCTGTAAACATTTTGATGGCTGCCTTGTTAGATGGAAATGAACATTATTCTCATAAGTAAATCTTTATTTCTAATTCAAGTTTGTTAGCAGCAGCCATATTAGGCTTGTAAGACCATCAAAGTTACATTGGGAAAAGCAATGCAGGAAAAAAGCTAATAAGAAATGACAATGACTTATCTCAGATATTTGAACACTTTTACTATTTAATAGTACTAGAGTGTGTTTTTATCCTTTCACCCCAAATAAAACAATAATGATGCAAGGGATTACTAGGAGTGAAGACTTTAGTGAGAAGTAAAGACAATAAAAGAAAGCTAAGGCAGTTGAACAACGTAGGGTGGCAAGGAAGCAAAAAAAAAAAAAACAGAAGAGCTCCAAAGGCAAGACGTGTAAGAAAAGAAACTATTAGAATAGAAATTATGGTTAAATCTACTTATTTCAACAAACCTATTTACCAATCTAGAAAAAAAAAAATTTTTTTTTTTTTTTTTTTTAATTGGATTCACCCCCAAGCAAAGCTACAAGGGGTTACTGAATATGAAAGTATTAGAAAGCAGAAACATTACTAAGAAATGAGACCAAAAGAAGAGTAATCAAGAGCACAGTAGAATTAAATTTGCATTTAAACTTTTGAAGATTAAAGTTGGCTGGAAAGCACGGAGCCGGAAGAGAGGACTGTGCTTAAATTAAAGTCTTGGTACCATAGCAATCCAAACAGTTACCTGGAAGTATTTATAGAAAAGGCACAGGGAGGCAGCCTTACAGTGGTGGGCAAATGACTGAAGTCGAGATGCCAAAACAAGACCAATAATGTTGCTGATTCTTCTTTAGGTTTTACCAAGGATCTGTAGATATGCCTAAATTCATGCAGTTGAGGTACCAAGGAAGAGAGCTCATTAGAAAAATTCTTATAAAAATATTGATAGAAAAGAAAGTGGGAAGCAGTGAGAAAATGACTGAAATCAGTCAGTACCAGGTCAGGATCAAGAACATTACTTTTTTTTTTTTTTTTTTTTTTTTGAGGTATGTAGCAGGAGCACCAGACTATATATGCCAATATTCAATGCACAGGAACATGGTAGATTTATAAATGTGCAAGATGGATTCTGTCAAGAAAAATTGTCTGGAATGATACAGTGAACCCACTTTCCTAGCAGCAGACCTAGCATTAGATTTAACCTTTACCACACTAATTTCTTTCTAGAATTATTCCCCCTGCCAATGCATTTTTTTTTTCTTTTGAGGTTGCAAAAACATGAACACTTACTGTTTTAAAATTGTTATAACTTCCTTTTTATTGTGTATATAGATTTTAATTTTTGTACACTAATAAAAGAATGAATGAGTAATATTTTAATGTAATGTATTATGTTTTACATGCATGTTTTGATGTTGAAAACAAAAGAAAATTGGTATGAAAAACAAATGCATTAAAAAATACATAAATAATTCAATGTACTTTAACTTTTATTACTCCTTGTGTAGATCTGGGGGTGCAATAAGAAGCAAAATCTCTAAAAAGGCTTTCATTTCATTAAAAAAGTGACGTGTTTCTTTGTGTTTACATATGAGAAGACACAAGCATTTGTTTGCTTTTTCTTGCACCTGACTCGTATTTATTTGTCTCGATGAACAAAGTTATTTCATTGTTTATAAATAGGCAAAATAATTCACCTTTAGAAAGGCTATCAGATATATGTTGATGGTCGCCAGTAGCTTCCATAAAATTACTCAGGCATGGATGATGGTAGCCGCTAGTGGTCATCATCGCTTTCCTCTACATCACTAGAGTGTTTATCATCTCTGACCATTTCACTGTCAATATCCACTCAAATAAACCCTCAAATAAATCATCATTGGAGTCTTAATCTCCCAAAAATAAAGGCTTTGTTGGATATTGAGGTGGCCATTTTTGTTTACAAAAAAATTGCAAAAAAATTAACTTGGGTTTAATGTTGCACCTCATGTAGAATCTAATAGAATTCAAAATGGTGTTGGAAAATGGAAGTTTAGCCTTGTTCCAAAGCAGTAGTGGGCAATTTCCAGCTTAAAATACTGGAAATAACAGTTGACAAGTGTTTGTTTATAACAACTGTCTCAGGTGACAGAAGTCACCAATGGTAGTAAGGGAGAGAATTCTATTGTCGCCTGTGGCATGGTAAAGGCTAATATAACTCTAATCTGAAGGATTCATGCTGGTTAGCCTTTTTAATTAATAAGGTACCAACACGGAAGAACAGGCTCCCAAGAATGAGGGATACAAGTTCAAATCTGCCATAGGGTAAATCCTTTATTTCTGACTCACAGTGCATGTTTGTCAATTTGTGAGCTGCAATAAAATGTAATAGTAATTAAGATGAAGATATTAGTAAAAAGTGAATAAGTTCCAACATCATTATGTCTTTGGTTTCACCCAAATCCAACTTAATAAATAACATTTTCTTAAAATGGAATTTTTTATGAAACTTATTTCTGAACTCTAGTAAGTTCTTTGGTTTGAATAACAACCGATTACCACCAACAACAACAACAACCATTGCCAGTTAAAGGCAAAACTCTGCTTTAGTTCTTTCCATATTTCTGCTCTGTCGCACATGACATGCTTGAAATATTATTTTCTCATTGGTTAGATTGAAAAAGGTAACACAGTCTCAGATTTACACCTTAATTGAAACACTTTACAATTTTATTTTTAAATGTGTGTCTGCCCGCACACCATGTCTCATTACGATATGGGTGATTATGGTTCTCCAGTTTCCTAAAGCATTGAGGGCATTAAAAGATTAATCTGGGAATATTTTACTCAAAAGAAATTACCTTACATTTAAGGTCTGATCAAAAAGTATCAAGAATGGTGCTATGAAAAGAAAACAATATTCTATATCAATTCAGCATTTAATTTCCTTCAAAGTAGACCCCTTCTGAGGCTACATACATTTTATCCAGCATTGTTTCCATTGATGTTGAAGTGTTCCTGCCTCATTACATTCTTTTGGATTACCTTGATGTTTGAAATTTTGTTTATTTCAAGTCAGATTTCATTTTTTGAAAAGGAAGGAGTCTCAAAGAGCAAGATCTGGAGGAATATGGTGGTTGCAGGACCTGGGTAATGTTGTATTTGGCCAAAAACTACTGCACAAGTCATAGTCACTGATGGAATCTCTGTGGTATGGTGAGGCAAACCACACTCTACACACTTTCCTTCCAAGCAGTGCTATAGACCATGGAAGTGAGTGACAATGTTATAACTTAGTGCAGATGTGTGATAGAATTCAAGATTATTCTGTGCCAAACGGCATCATTCTACATACCTTATCTGTCATCATAGCAACAGTCCTGGTATATTCTTTTTGCCAAATTATTGGCAACAACTTTTTTTTTATATCAGTAAGAGTAGATTTATGAATCTTTCTTTCTTTTATCCCTAAATCTGTCTTTTTGATAATTTATTTTAAAAAAATATTGAATAAGAATGATCTAATTTTAATTGCAGAGACAAGCTCGGAGATGCTATGAAATTCTCCGGTTGAAATTTGTTGATGTTAACAATGAGGAACAATTTAGGGCTTATCGTCTGGACGTTAAAAGACGCCTCAATTTGCCATTCCATGTGAGTATACTTGTATCATTATACAAATTCACTTAATCTTTCACGATCTTCTAACCCAAAGAAAAAAAAAGAAAAGAAAAAAAAAATGAAATCCTTGATGGCAATTTTAAAGAAAACAACCTCTGACATTGTTTAGTTGTTTAGGGGGAGTTCTCTTTTCTCTCTTTTTTTTTTTTTTTTTTTACAACTCATTTTAAATTGAACGGAAAGCCTTGAAAATATTGAAAATAACTATAAATCTTGTTCTCTAATCTTTGCGAAATCCTAATTATTGCTTTTGCCTACTCTCCTCAGATTATACAAAAACCTGATATTTTTATTAAAACTTCTGATGCTTCATATAATTGCTAGATTTTTATAATTTCAATCATGATTATTTATTCTGTATAATTCATTATAAATTTTGCTTGCCCAATCTGAGTCAGTTTCATTTTAAAATTTGAAATAAACTTGTGGCTCATGAAGGAAATTTATTATTAATACATTTGTGTCCCAAATCCTTTTTGAAAGACCTGAAATTGGATGATGCATGGCCACCTCTCTTCCCCTTTCCACAACTCTTTCCATCTGTGTTGGCACTGGGCCCCTGACTTTTATCGGGAGTCTTGCCAGCAAAAAATAGGTTGGCTACTCTGACCTACTTCATCAAGACCACTACATTGCTTGACCAATAATCTCAAACCTGTTTGAGTAATTTCTACTCCTCAACTTCCAAACAACTCAACTTGGCTTCTTTTTTTTTTTCTTTTTTTTTTTTTTTTGTGATTTCCTTTCTAAACAATATTTGGTCTGCCATTCAAAGTTGTTGATATGTCTGATTTTGTTAGTTTTAAACATTTTCTCTTCCCCCACCTCCTCCTTCCTTATGTAAATACACATTCAGGTGGCCACTTTGGGATGTTCATACCCAGCATCCACTAGAATTTGGATAATTGTGCTTTGGTAAAATCTATAATAGCTGTATAACGTGTTGAAACTATTGAGCTTTGTTACTTCCATTCCCCACCCCCACATCATATCCTTACAGGATGTGGGCGATCATTTCTCTCCACAGATTTTTCTATATCATATCTCAATTGCCTTGCATTTTTTTTATGAAAATGGATTTCCCATTGCCTTCCCCACAGTGTGGAATTCAGTTATCTTCCTCTTCGGCTGGTTGACATCCAAGTCTATAGTTCCCAGTCTACTTTATTTAACCAAACACTGGGGAGGGCAATGACAGGTTCATTCCTTTTCACAAGGGCATTAGCACAAAAGTAAACACAGAAGTCTGATATTTGAACTCCTCTTGCTGATTTCATACTCTGCATCAATGTCTACTAAATTAGCCATACTTCCTTGCTTCCCAATTCTGTATCTAAATTCTGACTTGAGTAAAAAGACTGAATGTTTCTAAGTATTTCTAATTTAAAACTGAAAATCTTGACAGAATTTACATAAATGGGCAAATTTTTTTTTCTCTCTCTCTCTCTCTCTGTTATTTTCTTTGCTATTAAAAAGCATTTTGTAAATCAAATGATTTTTGGCTTTCAAAATGAAGGCACAAAATAGCATTGTGGTTATCAGTGGAGGAAAATAATTGCTAAACATTTTGCAGTGTCTGCTTGTGTTTATTAGATACTTAATGGCTTTGGGAAGGCATGAATTCACTTTACCTCCTTGCACTATCTCCTCACCATATCAGATATCTTGAGGGTCTTGTCATTGGCATGCCACAACATTGACACCAGCCAATATTCATTGCTGTGTATACCATGTCTCCTATTGTCCCATTAAATGTAAAAGTGATAGGCCCAGCCAAGCACCACTTTCTTGCCTTAAAAATGCTATGAAATGGTCCCATATAGTGCTCCACCCTTCTCCTAGATTACAGGATCAGCCAATGAACTAAATTTGATACATTTAAAAAAAAACAAAAAAACAGAGAAACTTGGGATTGTGTTTTTGTAGTTGATAATTTTGATCTATTTCTAGACAACAAGATGTTGCTTTCCCTTCCAACAATTTTTATTGTGGAATTTTTTATATGGAAAACATGAATTGTGAAACTATTCAACAAGAACACATTTTGCTATGTCCCTAATTTCATGGTCTTATCTTTATTATGGGGTGTTCTGTTAATATAAACTGTGATGTCTGGACCGATTCGCTTTAATATCTCACTGCTTAATTAATAAACCCTATGTCTGGCTTCCTGTTAATGAAAGACAAAATTATGCTTCATCTTAGTGGAGATGGGGAGTCTACAAGCATTTTGGGATAATAACAGATTTTGTGTTCTGATTTGATGATTGAGTGCACAGATTTTCCTTTTCATATTGACTCAGCAAAAACTGCATTGTCATTTGTTGTCTTTACTCTTGTATTAATTGCTTAATTTTCAAGAAAATGAAATCTATTGGGGCAGTGTTTCTCTTGTCAATACACTTGTTAAGAGTTTTAACATGTTATCTCGGTTCATATTGACTTTCGGTTGTGTTTTTTTTTTTTTTTTTTTCCCCTACACGCACACACACTTGTATTGAAGATGAAAAGCAAATTTGAAATCCACATTTTAAATTCCAACAAAGAAATTGTTAAATGTTAGATCCTGCCAAGGAGTTTCAGACTAAGCTCTTCCAGAAGAATTTAGTTGATAACAAAAATTTGGAATAAATTACAGCTCTTGCTTCATTCTCCACTTGTTTGGTCATGGGCACATGGCTACCTGAATTCACTGGAATTTTTTAACCACTTTTACAAATCAAATATTGGAGTTTTACACTTATTTATTGGATCATATTTAGCAAATGTTTGATTGTTTATGCTTAACTCACAAGTTTCTTGTTTTTAAATTGGTTTGTTGATTTTATTTAGCAATGTATCAACTCCTACAGGCTATTTAATGCTGAAATCTAAATATTTTGAACACAACTGTATGCCTTCAACTACAGATAAAATGTATTGCTGGTCTTTTTGCTTTAAAAATGTTTTGCTGGTATCTTTACTACAGAAGTGTATTTTTATACTTTCATAGTTTTTTTTTTTTTTTTTTTTTTTTTTTTTTTTTTGTATGGGGGGGGGTCACTATTTTCCCATAGCTGGGACCCAAACAGGTGCTACCACCCTGGGTCAAGGTGGACCTGGGAACAACAACAATTAAGAGGTGGTTCCATACTCTTCAAAACCTCCAATCTCCTGATCAGTTTATCATCATACCCTGGAATGTTCTTAAATTAAGAAAAACAAGTACACCCAACATCAAAATAACTTGCTTATCATCTGGTTCACACTCCTCACCCAGTCTTTTGAACAAGAGTAAAGGTTTCCTGTTAGGATTGTGTTTCTGGCTCCATCTAACATCTTTCTTTTTCACTTCCAGTAGCTACTTGTATCTTAGTGGCATTATTGCCTCGCTTAAAAACTGATGGATATTTTCTGTAATTTAATTTATTCCATTTTTGTCAAGACTATTTTTGCTACTATAATAACAATTTATGCCATTTTTTTTTAGTAGAATCGTTATTAGATCTGATATGCTTTGGACCTCTCGGCCATGGAGTGCCTTTCTTTAGAAATTGCTTTGTTTACATTAGGATATGAAACTGAGCAGATATGTCTATTTCAAGAGTCAGAGAAAAATGTAAATTTAATTTTGTTTGGTCATCGACGCACTGTGTAGCCAAGAGGTCCAAAGCATGTCTAATGGAAATTTCCTCAAAGGAAACAGTTTCAAATCTTGCCAAAGAGTGCTTATTTTTTTCTAATAAGATTTCTCAAAGATTCAGGTCAATAGACTTAAATAAATACATATGCTGTTTAATAAATAAATGGAGCATCTATTCAAATATGAGTATTCACTAAAAATGTTTATAAATATATAGAGAGAGAGAGAAAAAGAGAGATATGGTGCGATAGGTAAATTGTCACCATTTTATATTTTTAATTTTGTGCTTGTGTGTTGTTTGTTTTTGATTTTGTCAACTGCAGAGTATAGTAGGGTCAGTTGGGCACTGTGTGAAAAAGCACCGCACACAATTCACTCAGCCAAAAATTTGGAAACTGTCTCCTGTACTGCTTGGCATTTGCGGCAGAAGCTCCAATACAAACATTTCAGTGTTTGGGTGTCAATCTGAGAAGAGTACAGCTGAAAGAGTTGGATATGTCTAATGGGGATTATGAAGGTACAGCCACTCAGAAAAGTCACTATGATCATTCCGATAAGAAAAGAGCTCCTGAATTTGTTGAGGAGGACCTCAATCTCAACATGGAGGCCTACATCAAGTGCCTTGCAGGGGTAGTTCTGCCCTAGGTCAAGAGGGTGGCTTCTTGAAGAACTTATGTCTGGCAACAGGACTCTGCACCATACCACACAAACAGAAGAACCCAGTCATGGCTGTCAGACAATTTCTCCAACCATCACCCTTACATCTGGTCACCGAACTCCCCAGACTGCAACCACCATGATTATTATGTGTGAGGCTTATTTTTCAATACATGCAAGTGTGTCCTCAAAGAAGCCGTGTCACTGCTGATAGAATGAAATGTTGTATAGCCTCACACAAGTTTGGTTTTAGAGATTATTGGTGGCTCTGCAAGTGTGTGCTGAACAACAGTACATCGTCAATCCCTCCTTTCTTCAATCAATTTGAAGTCCTTACATCTACAATAGATGTTGATTGCTTTACTTGAAAGTTCTCCTCCAACTCCACACTCCACTCATCTGGAGTACCCATGCTTGATTTCCACTCCCTGGAATGGAGCCTCTACTGAACGATATGTGGGTAACACAATCACTGGTTTCGGACATCATTTCCAAACTGGACTCTCACAAGGCAAGTGGAGGTGACAAGATCCCAGCCATCATCCTAAAGGAATGTGCTCCCAAACTGGTTCCAGTTCTCTCCAAACTACAACAATTGCTTCCTGCTTCCTAGTTTGTTGGAAGTCCTCCACTGTTCCTGTTTTTAAGAATCCTGGAGGACCCACTGATCCCTCAAATTATCACCTTTTTAGTC